GAGAACAGAAAGAAGGGCACACCTCCGATTTTCTGAACATGTGTCGAAAAGCCTACGTCTCATGGGAACAAACTCTTCTAATAGCGCTATTACCAGACATTTCCCTGATACGGGTCATGAGGTGGAAATCACAAAACCCTGTATAGTTATCAGTCAAGAAAGGAGCTCGATTCTCTACAAGGTTTGCCGAAGCAATTTATATCAAACGCTTGAAACCAAATTTATGTGTTCACAGAGAAGAAGCCGTTATTAGTCGTTCCTTGCCCTGGTAACTGGATGTCTTTATTCTTTCTTTTATTTGATTACGTAATCTTTGACTTTACTTTGACTTTAACCTCACCCCTTTGACATAGTGTAATTTTTCTTGTCTCTTGTTTCTATGATTTCAGCTGAACTCCATACACTGTTACCTGATTTATTGATCACTCATCATCTTACGCATCTCTCATCTTTATTACCTAACTCCTATACCATTGTATGCATACATTTATTTTGTTTAAACTTGAACTGCCTGTGTAAAAACTATATAAGCGCAATTTTCTGAGCACTGTTCACTAATTGTGGAACTTTCTGTCAAATGACATCATGAAAAATTTGCAAATATGCTAAAACTTTTCTCTATATAAACCTCATAATTAATTTAGGCTGTAAACACTGCACGAACCACTGTTGTTCTTGCCTCATCCAAAAGAAGAAGTATACCCGTATAAACTGTCATAAATGTTACTCGATGTCATTTTTAAAACATCTTAAAATTTATTGAAAACAAAACACGTAGTTCAGCGAAGAGTCGCCTTTCGGAGAATCCATTTTCATAGCTGTACGATCGCAAATATATATGGTTGTTTTGTATGTGTGTGCACATTGAGTCTGTCAAACAAAAATACAATCGGTTATGGTTATTTTAACTAAACAGGTGAAGACTGGTTGTTGGAGTTACGTATTGCAAAATCAGTCAAGAAGTCAAGCTTATAATTCTTCTATTCATTTAGAACTCTTACTTAATTTCGTATTCTCTTCTTTGTTCCTATGCGTATCCTGAGTAGAACTCAATCATCAGACTATTCAAATTATTACATAACTTCTTTTTCAACAACTGCTTATGACAACTCATCACCTTTGTTACTACCCTAATTTCATTAACACCTAATTTTTTGACTAATTTTGTATTACGTAACTCCAACAACCAATCTTCACCTGTTTAGTTAAAATAACCATAACCGATTGTATTTTGTTTGACAAACTTAATGTGTACACACATACAAAACAACCATATATATTTGCGATCGTACAGCTATGAAAATGAATCCCCGACAAGCGACTCTTCGCTGAACTACGTGTTTTGTTTTTATTAATACCTGAGTGGGGATTATCCATGAATATTAAAACTTAACGAAAACTTTTACTAATTGTTACCTATCCTATGTTCAATATTGTGAGGGATGTCTCAACATCATTAGCACTCAAGATAGTCATTAGGAAATGAATGACAAAAATTCACCAAAATATTAAGCCATTACTTCATTTTGATGTTGGCGCTGAAACTTTTGTTTAAAATGGCCATGGAAACTTTGTAATAAAGCCATTCAGCTCATAGTATATGGCAGTATTACAAAGAGTCAAGTGATAGGACATTCATTAAATAATATCAACATCCCAGAAATACCTACATTGCCTAATCAATCATCTGTTCGATATCAGATATGTAAAGTGAGGATTCGTTGTAAACTTTTTTGCTTCACATTCCCAGTGGAACATAGGGCCTCAAGCTAGTGGCTTGAAGTTTCTGTAGCAGTGTTTATTTCACAGGATGGGGTTGCTAGCCTCATGCCCAACCTTTCCTCTTTACCAGTCTCACTACTGGTTTAGTGAGGTAAGGGAGTGCATCGGCCGGGAATCGAACCCCGGACCATGTGCACGGTTGGCGAGCGTCCTAACCACTATGCCACCGACGTTGTAAACTGATAGGTCTTAAAACAAACCGATACTAGTGTGATCTATGATAGAAATCAAGGAGCGGTGCTGTGGCTTTTTATCAAGTAGTTATACACCACACACTTGTTGGTATAAATCTTTTGAGAACAGAAGAACACAAATCTCACGCTTGGCTTTACCTTAGGATTCCTGAGTATCACTCAGCTGTGAATCAATGTGGGGAAGAAAAGAAAATTGATAAGTAGCTACTGGCTACTAGGTTTTGTTCTAACAAACGAACAACAAAACAGTGATCACAAAAACTGGCTCTGTCTCTTATCATCAGGCTGCTGATGAATACTACTGATAGGTTTCTAATAACTGTTAAGCCTCCAGCAGTTTTCTAGTCAACTTTGATTCATAAAGAATACTACTCTGAAGTGTGATTTGTATTTGAAAGAAAGGACATATAAGATTTCTGGAAAATCAGATAATGAATTTGTTTATCCCATCAGCAGCTGCCACTATAGTAATGTTTCCTCAGATGTCTGTTCATACTTAAGTGAGCAAAACTCACCAGTTTGTTACGAAATAGACTAAACTGCAGGCATTTTTATTTAAACACACAAATTTAGTCAGATTCAAAGGAACAGTAAGTTAGGAAATTAGTTCATTTCCCTATTATGTACAAATAATTTGCTGATATGTGATTTTGTAACGGAAGATGACAAAAGACTTCAAAAGGGAGCGCTGATTGAGAATTCACTATGTCCCTATACCGAAATTATGTACATCTTATCTACAAATCGTCATTTGCACAGATAGTTGGTTTTGTGCTAATTCTCCTACTCGCATTCTGTTTCTTTGTCTTCTTTTCGTGTCTCTTGTGTTTTGCCGCAACGCTGAAACAATTGCTCTCTTTGACATAAAATCTAACTCTCTTCTATTTGATAGTCTTTATGCCGATGAACATCTCTTTATATACTACTGATAAATCTCATTAGTAGTACATGCTACAATTTTACTCATTAACGTTATGTTCAATGAAATAACAGTACACTGAAGAATATTTGCTCTTAAATCTAATAGATTTTAAGCATGAATCTGTTTCAATCTGCTTTTAATCACCAAATCACTAAATTAACCGACTGTATTAATCCGTGTACACAGAGTGGTATATCAGTAAACAATGAATGTGAATAATGCTCAGTCAATTAAACATACCCACAAAGAACCTACAGAACGAAATTTAGCGTTCTTATTCTTGCCTTCTCTCATTTAAAATTAATATTATTATGTTATAATTATTTAAAAAAACCTCTGTCCTTTACTTTAGACTTTCCATGTATCAGACTCCTATATGATGAGTTGACCCTGAAGTAATCGAGAGATGAAGTTCTATAGGGCAAAGCTGTTAACTAGATTTAGGATCTTATAAGGTTACTGCTTCTTCAGTACATTTTACACTTATCCATACATTTAAACATAGCTTAAGGTAAAAGAGCTATATATTTGAGCTATATATGTTTGACACAGGACACCGAGTAGATGTGCTGGAATCATTCAAAATAATTAACAGACAAAGTACCTCAAGTCTTCTCAGGTTCACTGAAGCTTTAGCAATAAAACGATTGAAGCCTGACCTATGTGTAGAAACTATATAAGCGCAATTCTCTGAGCACTGTTTACTAATTGTGGAACTTTCTGTCAGCTGACAAAATGTAAAATTTGCAAGTATGTTAGAACGTTTCTGTACTAAAACCTCAAAATTTATTTAGGCTGTAAGCAGCTGATGAAAAGCCAACGAAATAAATGATGGTACCATGTTATTCTGCACAAACCGTTGTTGTTCTCGATTTATTCAAAAAGAATCAGTTGTTGGACTTCAATTATCCTGGTGACTCACTTCTTAGTAACTCTTTGTTTTCTAATTTTGTTAACTTATCTTTTCACTCCCCCGCCCTTTATTTTTGGCTTGACTCTCTTAAGAGATAATTTTTCTTGATCTTCTGAGTTCTGCTCACTGTACTACATCATCGACTCCTCACCTGACCTCATGTGCACTGAAATTGTAAAATTTTGATCTTCTCTTATCTCTTATTACGTAACTATTGCTAATTTTCTTTTGTTACCACCCGAACAACACAGCTGCTAATAAAAATTTTTTCAAGAAACTTCTCTCTACCAAGATAAATATATATATTTATGTCGTAACACTTTAGACACCCTGTAAATCACAACGCCTTATTTTACTATGACGCTCTGATAGTATGCTTGCTAATGGACAAAGGTTTGTTAAATTTGTACACTTTTTATTTTTATTAAAAAACTCAGATTGTACGTAGCTGATGAGAACCAACGAAATAAAATGGATCCAGATTGTTCCGCGCCAATGTTTCTTCTCTCTTTGTTCAAATTTATAAAAGTGAATCATTGTATGAAAAGAGCTAAATGACTGAAAGTGTTTAGTATTCAGATTATTTACAAAGTTGTCTCAACGTTTTGGGTGAACTTTGATTTTAAAATTTTGAACTCATGAGATCATGTTTGTATACTGGAGAATAAATTCATATGAAATAAAGTGTAAAATCTTAAGTGACTAACCACCTGGATGGTTCATTTATTTAAACCCAGTGAATATTTTAAATCATCAGATTATAATTTAAAGTGAAGTTACATTTTAAAAGCCAGCCCAACCACCCCTAGCACTGACCTTGAGCAACTAGTCAGAATTAGGAAGCAATGAAAGTCAAGATTTTCAGAAAGATGATACTGGGGCCATGATGGGCTGTGACCCGTTTATATCCTCCCAAGAGGTCAGTTATTCTATCAAGCTTCTCCCGAATATTCATGTTTTAATAACTCCATTAATCCAAATATTCAAATGCTAATGAAGCACTTGGTTTTCCTGGAACTTTTTAAGCCAATACACAACAACAGAAGACATAATTCCATTTGGTTATGCCACATGCAACGTTAACTGGTTGTTGATGATCATGTGACAAGGTAGCTTCGCCTAATTTACCACAATTGAATTTAAAACAGAAGAATTTTTTTGTAAATTATATACACAAAGAATTACTTACAGTTTTTCAGTATACACTGGAATATTTGTTGGAATAGACTCCAGGTGGATATTTTTGCACTCTACTTCGACAAGATTACATTCACACTCAGCTGGACACGTGAAGTTTGCATAATTGTAAGTTTTAGCAAATCTTGTTTGAATCCTTTTATCATAAGATGGATAATTTTTATTATTATTATTATTATTACCATTTCTGTGAAAAGGATATCTACGTGGACGATGACGTTTTAACTGATATGTTTGTTTGCTACTTTCTCTTCGAAATTTTTGTTTACTGTGATCAGTGATAGTATGAATTAAGCTAGTCCGTTGTGTAACCAGTTTATCTTCGAGTTTTGGCTGAGAAAAGTGGAGTAGATCAATGTGTTTCGGTAGAGCAGCCCAGATTCTCTTCTTAGACTTATATGCGGCTGATGATTCATCATTATTATCATTATTATTTTTATGTGTATTAGCGGTAACATTCCACTGATGGTTGACAGATGAAGTGGTGACAGTTTCATCAGCTTCGATATGTTTCGATAAAATTAATCCTGTAGTAGAAAATTTTTGCAAATCGATAAACAGGATTAAAATAATTGAAACAACTAACAACATGTCATTGGGAATATTCCATACAAAAAATTTCATTTCATATATTTATCTAGTTTATTGCTTGCTCTTTGGTCGAGGTAAACATAAAACTTGATGGTTTCTTGTGTGGCGTTGCTTCTTCTCTTTTAATATAATTTGTAAGTGTGATGATTGATAATTTTATTTCTGGTGTAAATTAGCATTTCCATCCAGTATCTGCGTTACTGACGTGGATTACATTGAAGTGCAACAAATATCGTTTAATTTTTTTAATCGGAGTAGTAACTAGAGTAATTATTATTTCGATGGTGATTGGTTAATATTAGGCGACAGTCATACTAGTCTCGCCAACCAATCAGAAGTATGCAAATAGGAGATTGGTTACTTTATGTGTGTAATCACAGCAATAGAAAATATTAACTAAAATAGTCTTGCAAACATTCACACTATATAATTCGTTGAGATATCATGTAATGTAAGAGATTAGTTTAATATGCAGTAAGGTAAACAACTTCAGAATACTAAATATTTTCAACGGTTAAATTGTATAATTATTTCCTTTGGTTCCAAGTAGTACATAAGGCTTCAACAACACATCTCCACTTTTTTCTGTTTTCTGCCGTCTCCTTCAAATGGGTCCACAATTTCCCATAATGTCTTCCATGTCACTCTGGGACAACCCTGCCGTCGCTTTCCACTTGGATTCCACTAGGGTAATGGCCTGCATTATGCTAAATGTCATTCGACGGCCCGATCCACTTCAATTTTCTCCTACAAATTTGTTGAGTAATTGGCTCTTGGCTGGTTTGTAACACTGCAGAGTTTTCCCTATTGCTTATTCTTTCTGGCTGGACATTTGATCTTCAGTATGGAACCAGTGAAGACAGCTGTTGATGAATATCTGTAAACTTTTGAAAATTTTTTACGTGACACGTTGACCAAGCTTCTGACCCGTATAGAATTGACTGAATTCACATTTGTGTTGAAAATCCGAATCTTGTTCTTCATACTGAGTCAGTACAGAAGATTTCCAAACTGGTTTCAGGTTGATGAATGCGTATCTTGCCTTTCCGATTCTGTCTGGCTTTGACATCATCTGTTCCACCCACCTGTGATTCAAACCGTACTTCCTAGCTGGATAAGTGAAGGAAATAACCTCTGTCAAATCTATCCCACTGGTGATGATTGGTACTAGTTGTTGTAGCTATTCGTTGGTTATCTTCACCACCTCCGTCTTCTCTATGTTCACCTGGAATCCTCTTTTCGCTGTCAGCCTCTTCAGCAAGTTTGTTGGTTTTCGCCTGCAAGTCTTCGAGTTTGTATGACACTAGATATATATCATCTGCGAAATTTCAGTTGTTCTAGAGTCTTCTTACTGGTGGTCCAGTGAAATACTGTCACTTCTCTCCCCAAAGTCTGACGTATAACCCAGTCCACCACAATTAAGAATATCATCGTTGATAATAGACAGACCTGTCTAACCCCTATGTACACTTCGAATGCTTCATTGAGTTTTCCGTTGTGGTTCACCCGACACGTGACACTGTCATACAGCTGCTGAATGAGATTGATAAAGACTTGGGCATTGCACGCTGTAGTTTCGAAGTAGTTTCCGAATTACTTCTCGGTTAACGCTGTTGAGAGTCTTTTCGAGGTAGATGAAGTTGAGTTGGAGGTTCGACTGCCATTCAATCCTTAGTTGGATGACGATGCGAAGCGTTGGAATTTGATTAACATATGATTTGCCTTTCCTGAACACAGCTTGTTTCGGTTGGCGAAGCTGTGCATCCAGTGCATCTTTTATTCGCTCCAGGATGATGCAACTTAGTACTTTACTTGGTGTGGACAAGGGCATTATTCCCCGCTAGTTGTTACAGAGGCCTAAGTCGCCCTCCTTTGGTAGTTTGACAAGGCGGTCTTTCTTTCAATCGGAATGCACCTTTCCTTCCTTCCAAACCTTTTGTAATAATGGCGTGAGAACATCTGCCGCAGCCTGTGGCTCCGTTTTCAGTGCATTGGGAGCAATTCCGTCTGGCACTGCTACCTCCCCGACTAAACTTCAGTAGCTTAATTGCATTCAGGACTTCTGCTTTCGTTGGAGGATTGGTGTCTACTGGCAGGCAGCTCTGTGCGTACTGTTGGTTTTGGTGGTATTTCTGACTGAGTTGCACGTGATAGTTGATTCAAGAGTCCTTCGAAGTGATCATCTCACTGTTTTATTTGTTTCTCCTCCTTGATAATCAGTTTCTGTTGAATATGTTTTGTTGGTTTCATCATCTGGGTTAATCTCAGTAGAGACCTGGTTATCTGATATAATGTCATGAGGTTTCTTGTACCTGCGGCCGGCTTGTTCTACTTCAGTTGTCTGCTAGTAAGTCATATAATTTTCTTTTGTCTTTCCTATCACTCTTCTTTACTTCTTTATTCAATGCAGTGTACACTGAACTCAGCCCTTTCCTTCTATTTCCCATCTTCACAATGAGTCATCTTGTCTTTCACCATCCTCCCCTGCTCTCTTCTATTAGCTTCCAGGTAGGTGTCCGTTGACAGCCATTCCTTGTTGTGTCGCTTCTTTCTTCCCAGAATAGTTGTACACGTTTCCTTGAACATCACGTTATATATATAATTCAGAAGTCTGATGACATGCCAATCATAAGTCACAAAATAAATATTAAATCGACACTGAAAACAGACAAATTTTGTAAATACTGAAGAATTGACTTCAGATATAACGTAAATCGATTATGGCACAGTCATAACACATCTTGAATTCATTTGATAACAGAGGATTTTTAGACCCAGAAAAAAGCTCAATGAATCCCTAAAGACAGTTAACACTGGAATAATACAACTGACATTCCCAAAGTTTTTTCGGTTACTGGATACAGCATGTAAACAGTCATTTTTCCTCAAAGCTTTTGGATAAATGAATGCAGTAGTATACTCAAGCTAATAAATCTCAATAACCACAAGGAATAATAGGAGATAATTGTCGATCTTACTGCCGAATTTTATAGTTTTCCAATAAGTCTATGGATACATTTACATTTATAGTAGCTAGGCAATCACTAAAGTTCATCAGCCAACTCAGAAACTGATCTTAATTACTCATAAGTCACACATAGTTTGACATTAGTTATCTAACACTCTAAGGCTCAATGTAATACTGTGGGAACTGGAATGGTTATGTGATTATTAAGTACATCTATTACTATGATTCGTAAATCCACATTGTTATTTGTTTTTATTTATGGGGAAAACAAAACATAAATAATTTTCCTGAATACGACTTTCTGACTTTCGTTCTTTTCTCGGTGTCATCCTAGTTACCAGTATTCCGTCACTACTAATTACAATTACAAACAGATACTGCAAAGTACTGCGGATAGTTTATTTTTCAAAATTATCAGAGAAAGAAACTTTATCATGAGGAGAGACTTTGGTCTTTGAACCATCAGTAAAAGAATGAAACATCAAAACAAGGATACATGACAATAATTATCATAGATAAAAACAAAAGTCTCTTATTAGTTTGCCTATTCGATGGCGTTTCGAACAAAATTTAGTGTTCATAAGTATATCACTTGTAATCACACGACTTCGAAACTAGAGTTTTATAGATTTCTTTGTTCCCTCCTATTTGTCGTAGGGGCTGTAGAATTTTCCAGTTATCTGGGACAGGTGTTGAATCATTCCCATTACAAGTGTTTGCAGTTGATTCGATAAACAAAGCTTCTGTTATGAATCTCTCCTTCCATCCTGTAACATTAGATTTTAAAACTGTTATCTTATCCCATCCTGTTGTATGACTGTGCGTAACTGCATGCAGTGAGTGGTATAACTGAACCATTCTCTAGATTTCTTATCTTATTCGGGTCAACTCATCTAGATTTTGCCAGGTTTTTGTGCTCTCTTTATTAGATGGCAAATAAAAAAGTATGACGAAGAGAAATATGTTCAAGGTGAATACTATACAGTGAGGATTTGTAATCTTGACCATTCTGATAACACCTGATTGCTAATAAGCTCCATATCATACTAAACAGTATGCAACACATCACGTCTAAATCTTCAATCAAGTTGAAATGTGACATAAAAAGTTTTTCCCTTGACAAGGCATAGTCTTTCTTTAAACTGCTGAAATTTTCAAAACTAACTTGGTCTCAAAAAATGGAATTACTGTATCACATCTGTTGGCTGTCGTATAACCTTACAGTTTTCACATTCAAATCATCTGGGTCACATTTTTACAAAAAAAATATTTATTCATCACAAAATAACGGTTTATAATATTTGCACTGATAAACAGTTGTCCTTTATTATCATATTATTGTGGTGATAGCTTATATATGTTATACAGTTTTCCGTGAATAACCATCAGTGTTGGTCACACTATCAACTAGTGAGATCAATAGGTCACTCAATATTAGTCAAATGTAAGTTTACAAGTCAGATAACCAGTCAGTGCGTATCACACAGCAGCACACATAATTTCAAACGTCTCCATAAACTCAATCAGTGACAATTAAACAGCTATATTTTATGAATCTTATGATAAATGAACAGGATATGCTATCCAAATATGTTTATAAAACTAAGTAAATATACTTTAGTGAGGTGGAAAAGATAAAGTCTCTTTGATCGATTTTTCATTCATGGGTGGCTCCCATGCTCTCTTCCGAATAGTTTTTAGTTAAATTATTTAGGTAATATTTTTTTAGACAAATGAGGGCTTGATAACTGCTGAAAACATTCATAACAGATGTAGCTGATAACTACTTTCTTCTCTATTCTGACATGAGCTATGTGACAGTCAGAGTCAGCAACTTTGGTTCTCGTAAACACTTATCACTCCGCCAGAATACTAGTCAATCCAACTGAACGTCCAACTCAGTATATTTCATTTCACCAAAATACACTCTTGCGTTACAGTTTTCCGGATATAGTGTTGAAACACAATCTCAGTTCGCTGTGACAGTTCAGTATTATCAGGATACACTGCGTAAGGTGTCTATTTGCACGTTCTGTGGGTAAACTTGAACTTCTTACACCATACGTTTGTCGTTAGACGGGTGGTGGCAACTCTTCATCAAGGTTGTGTGTTTATTGTTACTTATCAGCAAGGCGTATTTGCAACCTTAAAGGAACTGATATAACTCTGCAAACCTGGAACCGCTTAACTTAATGCTGCAGTCAGCGGGTTATCACTGAGTTATTTGGGGTAACTTATGGAACTGTATTGGTTGTATTGATTTGTCACCGGGGAGTAACTGGTGCCAAGTGTTTATTTGTTAGTGAAGATGACTGTATTTTGTCAGCCAGTTTAC